GTTAGTCAGATTCATCAGGCACATCACAACTGCAGGCACTGGTAAAGTCTGTCCCTTATCATATGCAATTTATGTCAGGCTACAAATCCTGCTCTTCTGATGGGGTTATAAATGCTTTGGACCACATCCTGCAGCCCTCCCAGAGCCAAAGTGACCATTTATCCCACAGAGCTGGATCTCCACAGACCTCCTAGATGAGATCTCAACATCTGGCAGCCAGCGGCAGGAGTCAACTTCTGAGAAACAGTTCACATTGCTACTGACCCTTGAAGAACACCATCTCCCCACCTCTCATTCCTATTCCTTATGTTACATGAGAGACTCAGCCATCCTTTGATATTCCAGAGAAGTTCCCAGGAGGATTAGGAATTGGTCATCAATTTCAATTGCTCCTTCTCTCTCTCTCTTTCTCGGTACATGGAATGACTTCAAATAGAGATCAACTTTATGCATGAAGACATATAAAGCTACTGTTTTTCTGTGGCAGAGCCAAATATGGCTCTTATTCTAAGTACAAAGGAAAAGTCTCTCTAAAAGAGACTCAAGTCGTGTGCTGATTTCACTCAGGTCACTTCTCCCTTGAACCCTCCTCCATAATTGTGTTCCGTTCTGGCTTTGTTTGGAAAGTCACACAATTTACAAAAGGTTCAGAATGCACTGAAGGTCAACAAATAGGGCTTTGTAAAGAAACCTGTGTCCTTTTGCAATACATTTTAAACTTATACATATTCCCAAGCAGTAATCAATTTTAATTTAATTCTTGCATTTTTTTGTTTATGGTACTTTCTAGAAAATCCAGATTTTTGTCCCTGCCTTCTCCCCTAACCTTAGGGGAATGTATTTTAATTATTTTTGTGCTTATAACCTCCTATAAGTCTAGTGCAATACATTCTCATTTGTCTTTTATTAATCCTTACTGTGTAAATGATTATTCTTAAGATTGTGATTTATATACCTTTTCCCAAGGGGCAATCATAAGTTAGTGCTAAACAAATCAAGTTGTTAGATATTGACCTTCATGCAGTGGACCTAGCTTCTGTGATATGAAGCTATCAATTGAGCTATGAGTAATAGAATTTTAAAAGACAATTGAAGCATTACTATAATAAAGTTATAGATGAAACTGAACCGGTACTACCTGAATGGGAAGCCCTTGTAGGAGTTCTATTTTCTATTTTATACATTCCCAGAATTGATACATTGAAGTCTCATGCATATGATACTGAGCTAATCTTAGCCAGATGGGAATATATTGTGGGAACACCTACCAGCTTACCCCGATTCACTTACCTACCTTTGAAAATTCTTGAGATTTCCCAGTCCAATATGAGACCCTCCTAGTATAGGAATGTCCTATGGAATATGCCTGATGAACCCAATGGGGTACAGAAATTGCAGTAAGAAATTTATATCATTGTTATCATTGACAGTGATGAGTCCACCATGTTTAGTGTTTGGCCAGGTGCTGTGAAGATGCCAAAAGTTACCCTCCTTACCTTTAAAGTGCTTATAAATATCAGGACCAGAGGAGCTTATGGTTCAGAGGATACAGTCTTGTAGTTCTTCATACAGTGGCTTCTATCACACAGTCAAATATGAAAGAAAGCATATAAACCAACAGCATATTTATTCATAGATCACAAATGTTTTTCAGCTTTGTGATCTCAAGAGTTTTTCTAGATGATTATGAATACCCCTTCTTTATTATTATGAGCAGGGGATAAATTACTTGCAATCGAGATATTGCTCCAGAGAGACATACCAGGAATTTCCAATTCACATAAAAGTTGTTTTGCGGAAGTTTACTTTCACATCATTTATTTTAAACTTGGGTTGCAGTTTCCCAGAGAAAAAGTGATATGTAGTAATAACAGCCAACATTTTAACAAACCTTTTTTGTTTCCTGAGCACTCTATAGAGAATGATGTAGCACCAGGCCTTCTGAGCCAGCCAGCCCTTCACATCCAGGTTCTGCCTTTGGACACGTTACTTGACCTCACTAACTGATGGTGAATTTTTTAAATGGGGATAACAATCCCTGCCTCCTAGGGCTGGTGTGTGTCTCCAGTGCTAGGCACATGGTAACTGCCCTACGGCTTCGTGATGAGGAGAAGGGGAAGGAGCAGTGCTAAAACCAGCCATCTTAGCTGGTCTCACGACAGCCCCATCTCCAGTTCCCCATCGGCCCACCTGCCACTGTTGTTCCTTTGCTAGTCAGTTGCAATGGAAATAGGTGAAGAGAAACCCCCTGCAATAATTAAACATTGTTCCTGTTTTAAAAGGTCTGGTTTGTAAAGTAACCAGGATTGACATGATTCTCTTCTGCTGAGAAAGATAATTTATTGAGCTCATACTCCGAACCAGGCACTGTGCTCATCATTTAATTCTCACAATGACCCCACAAGCTAGTAGCTGGCTAGTATTTCCAAAAAGTTCATTTTTTTTTTTCAGAGAAAAGACAGCAGAAAAAAAAAATGGAGAAACTAAAGAAGTAATGAATTTCCTATGACAAATAACTTCTAAGTAATTTCCAAAAGCTATAGGCAACCTTGCGTTTCTGGTACCTTTCATTCTTTGGGCCTTTTTTTATCTCTGTGAAAATCAACTTTTCTAAAAATAGCTTAATGAGGAAGAAGAAAATGGTAAAATTGTGCATTTCATCACATCACATTCCAGATAGGAAATTCATTTAACTCAGGTATTTAAAAGATTATCATTTGCACAGAAATAAAGTCAGACACTTTAAAATTCAAAAGATATGTTTGTGCTCCTTTTCCCCACCCCCTCCATTCCCTGCATATTATATTCTTCATGCCTCACTGAACCACTGAAAAATGGGGAAGTCAAAACTCTAGCAAAGTTCTTCACTGCAGTATATACTAGCAGCCAAATCACTAGAATGCCCATTCATTTCTTGTGAAATGCTACATTAATAATTTCTTAAACTGTCACTTCATACTAAAGATAGCACTTCCACAGCTGTAAGCCCACTTGGGTTAGCAAACATGGTGGTTCTTTTTAATGCCCGAATGAATAGGTTGACCCATAGAGAAGTTTAGAACCAATATAGTCACGGTCTGGGCTTTCCTGCCCTGGTTTCTTTGAAGACTGGCTCTCAAGAGGCACTCCCTAATCCTGGGGTCAGGGAATCCTCACATCAGGTACAGGGCATGATATGATGTCTGTAGCTACTTCAGCAGAGCCACCACACACAGCAATTTGCTGACGTCAGGCCAAGCCTAAAATACTTAAAACACAGCTGTGGCTTTGGCCATTGTGAGCCCAGGTGGGGACAGAGTAGGGGAGCAGCGCCTTTGAGGAGAGCCACACAGATGGCTTCCAATCCAGATGCAGAGGTCAGCTGAAGGGTGTGGAAGAGTGTTGATGGTAAACATCCTGGGACGGGGATGCATGCTGCCCTAGTGAGGAAATGCAAAAGAGACAGCAAAGGCAGGGAGATGAAGCATTTGGGGACTCAGAATGGAGAGTGCTGGATAATGGATTTTAGAGCTAGTGGGTGGTTTTTATGAGTTCTATTCCTGGGCCAGTTCTAAATGCATGAATGCAAGAGCAGATGTGCTTGGACAGTCTACCCAAACCACATAGACATCTGGAACTTCAGGGCAGTGGTGAATCCCTGCAGTGACATGGCTACTTTTAAAACACTCAAGTTCAATAGGATCCCACAAAGTTCTTTGTTGTTCAAATATTTGATGCTCTGTACCTATTAAGAACATAGAACCATCTCCTCATTACACCTTTCAGTTCCCAAGAAAATGTGTCTGTCTTGTCATGGATTGAATTGTAATCACTTTACTGGATAATTATAGAAGGGAACAGAAGACACAGAACAGAGTTTAGAACTTGCTGATGTTCCCACAGCTCATGAAACTTGAGAAAAGACCTAGACATTTTTTCACTTTTTATTGGCCGCTTCAATTCTTTGTGTTGCTGAGTCTCTGAAGGCTTGATTTTTGCCTATGGATAAGAAAGTTTTGGGGTCTGATTTTTAGTTTTAAAAGGTTTATTGTCTATTCATAGATACTTGTTTTATCTGCTTGTTAGAGAGTGCCACCTGATGTTGAAGTTGCTTGTGACAGCTATTGGTCCCTATGTTTACCTCATGTGAATAAAGGAAAATATCCTGGATGTACAGCAAAGTTGTGGAGTAAAAGAGTGAGATATTAGATCATTGCTAGCTGCTTACTCTTATTTCAGAAATAAAAATTTGAACTATCTCTTATCAATGGTAAATATTTGGGGAATTAAGTATACATTATTATAAAATATTTTCCTATTGTTTATTGAACACCTACCTGTTATAGATGTTACTCGTTTACATGTGTTTGAAATAACATGCAGTATCAGTGTATATTAAGGTTTGTGTAAGAAATTGGCAATTCATTTTACTACTAAAATTTTGCATGAAGACTTTCTTAGGGGACAAATGTAGAGATTAAAGTAATTTTCTTTAAATCCACCTGTGGTATTTATTGAATGTAGAGTTGACAGCACTGAAGTAGGCAAATTGGACTCACCTAAATCTGCCAAATATAACTTCAACTTTTTTTTCCTTTTTTTTTTTTGCTTTTAACTTTCTCATTTTGATAGAATTCTTTTACCAAAAATTGACTATGAATGAGAGGATTGAGAACTGATGTCGAAATGTTTTTCTCTTAATATTTCTTGATCCGTTAAAAACAAAATATGGCTCCTGGAAGTCAGACAAAGTTTCCATCAGGATTTGTAAACTGGTTGGGATCACCTTATGTGAAACTTAAATGAGACAGTGAAATGGGCGAGCATAATTCACTGACTTAGCGCTTGGTCCAGAATGAACTGCTGGCACCACACTTCGGGCTGCTATGTGTGCCCATTCCCTGGGTGTTCTCTGCAGCTGGCCTAAGTGCCAGGCGATGCTCACAAGCTGAGCTCACTCCTGGAATGCACGTTCCTTGCCGTTCCGTCTCTGAAGGTGTCACTTCTCTGTCTCCCCACAGGGACCCTCTGAAGATCCAGCAACTCCAGAACCAAATCCGACTGGAGCAGGAGGCCGGCGCCCGGCAGCCTCCGCCAGCCCCGCGCAGCGCGCCGCCCTCGCCGCCCTTCCCGCCGCCGCCCGCCTTCCCCGAGCTCGCGGCCTGCACGCCGCCCGCGTCCCCGGAGCCCATGAGCGCGCTGGCCTCCCGCTCCGCCTCCGCCATGCAGTCCTCCGGCTCCTTCAACTACGCGCGCCCCAAGCAATTCATCGCCGCGCAGAACCTCGGGCCCGCGTCGGGCCACGGCACGCCGGCCTCCAGCCCCAGCTCGTCCAGCCTCCCGTCGCCCATGTCCCCGACGCCAAGGCAGTTCGGCCGCGCGCCCATGCCGCCCTTCGCGCAGCCCTTCGGCGCCGAGCCCGAGGCCCCGTGGGGCTCCTCCTCACCGTCTCCCCCGCCGCCGCCGCCCCCGGTCTTCAGCCCCACGGCTGTCTTCCCGGTGCCCGACGTGTTCCCACTGCCGCCGCCACCACCACCGCTCCCGAGCCCGGGGCAGGCGTCCCACTGCTCTCCCGCCACCCGCTTCGGCCACAGCCAGACGCCCGCGGCCTTCCTCAGCGCCCTGCTGCCCTCGCAGCCGCCGCCGGCGGCCGTCAACGCCCTGGGGCTGCCCAAGGGTGTCACCCCCGCGTGAGTAACAGCCGCAGGCCTCCGCTCCCTGCCTCTCCGCCTCGGGTCGCCCTGGGGCTCCCACATCCCCATACACGCGCGCCCATCAGCCTGCAACCCAGAGCACCTCAGTAACATTTCACACATTTCCCTCCATGCGATGTAAAAATTCTTAACGGCAATTTGACCCAGTGATTCTTGCGTGGCCACTTGACATGATCAAAATCAGAACTTTCTCGTCTGAACTAATATGAGATTCTCATGAGGAACTATTCAAACTCTATGCAGTGCTCTCTTAATAATTATGACGGGGGGAGGGGCTTAGCTACCGTTTATCGAGCACTGTGCTAAGCAACTCACGTATACTATTTCAGTCCATACTACATTCCTAAGAGGTAGCATCGCCCCAGTTAAACCACCGAGATTTCTAGGAGTTGAATAAATTGCCCTGGGTCACATAGCCACTAAACCAAGACAGGAATCCATGCTCTCACCACCAAACTATGTGTTTTATTATAATATTTCATGCCAGCATTACAATGGGTGCGAAGGAGTTTGGTTATTAAGTATACACTTAGTGTTTTTGAAAAACCTAAATTAACAGATTTAAGAAATAAGCCTTTGTGTGAATCTAGTGATTGACTGGAATGTAGATAAATGAGGGTGTATGCAACCTAGTGGAGAAATGATGATGCACTTTTGTCCCTGGCCTGTGATCTCGAGATCCATCACATGCCGCCTCTGTCTGTTTCTGCTTGCAGGTGATCTAATATGTCTGTCCTTACCTCACAGTGATGATGTGGCAGCCCTATGAGGTCTTTAAAATGGGAAATCTTTGAGGATAAATAACGACCACAGAAGTACAGTAAACTCCTCAAAAGAAATACAGTACAGGTGTTTGGTATGTTTGGTTGAAGAGTAAAATGAGTAAAAGCTAGCACTTACTCAGTTTACTGAAGACTTCAAAAATGAGTGAGTGCTCGCAAAGGTTAAGCCAGCACCCATATCTCAACTCTTCCTGCTGAAATCCTGCTTCAGAGTTTGCCAGAAGCATACTATTGTTCAGAGAGAAAAAGAAGGAAACTCTACTAAAGAGTAAACAGGAGAAGATCTTAGAATTCAAGTTATTTTCATTCATCTATAAAAGTGTTCCATTGCTAGGATATACTTTTGCCACCTTAAAGGCCAGCATTTCTATGTCGGGCCTCGACGAGGTGTACCAGGCAGCTTCAGTTAGCACTGCTGCTTTTGTTGGGCACTTCCTAAATGTTGATTACATGAATTTGAAATCTGCCTTCTTCTCAAATCCTTATTGGACGAAACACAGTGAAATGATTATGTAAAGAAACAAGTCCAATAAAGGAGCCAAATATAGTAATGATGTGATAATGGACTTCTGTTAAAAGTTGTCAGTCAACTTGTCTGAGGAGAACCTTTGTCTTTCTCCCCTGCTTTTTCTCTTTGAGCTTTAATTTAGCTGTTAGAAAAGGAAGTGTAGTATCTTGGTACAAAGAAGCTATTAGAGAGACCCAAAGAACTAGAGTTTGTTGCATGACACCTTTTCCTCCTCTCTCATTAAAAGGATACCAAGTCTTGCTTCCCAGGAAGAGGAGTACTGTAAATAATCTGTTCTAATATTTCTCATAAAGAATTTGATCAAAGATTACTTTGGCAAAGGTGGTAATGATTGTGCCATTTATCATTTTTAGTAGAAACAGCAGTTTGTGCTGATCAGTGGCTTTGAAACCTTAAGCAGTTTTAAGGGCTTACTTCAAGTAACAGGAGCACTTGCTTCTTGTCACTATCTTTCATAAGTGACTCATTTTATGGAGTCAAAATAGCTTATAATTGTTACCACAAGAGTCCAGTCGTTCCTGCCATTTTAAAAAAATTAATGGAGAAGTCATGCTGATTTTGTGGCCATGGAAAACTGTACCCAAAGATAGGTAAGTGCTGTGACATCGAAGTGGAAATACCAGACTACAGATTTTTAGCTCAGTGCCAGCCCAGTAAGCCATTATTATGTGGTTACCGTTTTGTCCTCAAGGAATTTTCCTGTTGCTAAATCACACACACTTGAAGAATTCATTATTTTGGTTTGATACATATGTCTTTTGAAACATGTTTTTCCTCTGGCATACTATGGGATCTGTCATTTGCATTCTGAATTAAAAACAAAAATGTTACTATTTTTGTTTATCATAATAATCCAAATAATTTGCTAAAGACTGAGTGTCCCTATCAGGGCTACCATGGCTTTGGCATCCTGGAACTTGCAGGAACTGCCAAGTTATCGTAAGATGTATATATTCAGTTTCATTTATAAGTGTTATTTCTTTAGCTGGATGGTTTTGCCATATATATCAAGTACCAACAAGTAGATTGATTACATATAATGCAATGAAGTAGAAATTCATTAGGTTTTTTTAACCTGCCTTGTTTTACCAAAATGTTAAATATAAATTTCCAATATCTTAGTTTTCTTTCTTTTTTTTTTTTTTGTTTGAGACAGTCTTGTTCTGTTGTCCAGACTGGAATGCAGTGGTGCGATTGCAGCTCACTGCAGCCTCCGCCTCTGGGTTCCAACAATTCATGCCTCAGCCACCTAAATAGCTGGGCTTATAGGTGTGAGCCACCACGCCCAGCTAGTTTTTGTATTTTCAGTAGAGATGAGGTTTCACCATGATGGCCAGGCTGGTCTCAAACTCCTGACCTCAGGTGATCTGCCCACATCGGCCTCTCAAAGTGCTGGGATTACAGGCATGAGCCACCGTGCCCAGCCCCTCTTAGTTTTCTTAATCATCACTTGCATACTTGCTGTTTTATTCTGTTTGTTTTGCATTGTTCTTATTTAAACTGTAGACAGGAAGGTTAGTAAGTACTAAGTTTCTAAACAGTCGGTGGAGATAAGGTTCTGTTTCTCATATGTTTGTGTAGCAGAGGTCAAAGCAGGGAACAAAGGTCATGGATGTCAGTGATAAACCACAAAGTCGAGGCAAAGGACAGTAAATTTGGGGAAAATGCAGCATAAAGGAAGAAAGGCGTTTGAGGAACTGTATGTATAGAAGTTCCCCAGACCGCAGTCAACCAACTGCATGCTGCTGTTGTGAGCTGGAGAGAGGTTGACTGCGGTCTGGGGAACTTCTATACATACAGTTCCTCAAATGCCTTTCTTCCTTTATGCTGCATCTTCTCCAAATTTACTGGGGTCACTGGCAAAGAAAATATTGCCCTGCTCAAAGCTGTCGACAGATACAAATACTAAGTTGATAAACCCTTTTAGATGGAGGTAGTAAGGAGAGCATGCCTTAGAGAGAAATCTGTTTGTACTTTTATAAAATTAATGTATTCTACTCCCCTCACTATTGCTGGTAAGTTGGTGTTACAGCCTCCATTGCTGTAACCATGTTTCTCCACATAGTAAATCAGCCCTAAGAGATGGAAGAAACCCAGAAGATTTGGCAGTGCCGACAGGCATAGTGTGGCAGTACTGCCTCTGCTGGTCTCTGAGCAGCTGTACTAAGTCTGAAGGGTGAATCAGATCAGACCCATCTCTGGAACCAGACTGGCACTGTTTCATTTGCCATCTTCACATTCTTGGAATCTGTGCTCATAAGGGAGTGCCACATAGCCACGGAGCCACAATGTTGTATGTTCTTAACTGCCTCTTTTATATAAGCAGGGCTTTGGTTTGAAATGTTGCCCCATCTTTGTCACAAGAGCATGTGTCAATAAGAGCTTTTATACAGATGTACTAATGAGAGCTTTTATTATGTAGGCCCACAGCTCCTTATGGACATTATCTCATTGTCCCTCTCTTTCTCCTTGATAAGAAGCAGGTAGGTGGGGACTCTGTCATCATTGTTACTCAAGAGGTGATGGGATTTCCCAGGGTTCTGGAAAAAATGCCTGAGCAAGGAGAGAATAGCATGACTTAGGTTCATCTCAAATAACTCTAACATTTCTTGATTAAAGAAAACTGTTGTAGAAGCAGCAAATCAGAATCCCCTGAGTCAAGGAAAACTTTGTTAACAAATTTAGTTGTACTTTAAGATTCATGACACAGGGCATTTTAAACAGTTTTCAAGTCAAGACTGTGGTTAGATAGTAACCAGTGAAAAAGAATCCAACAGATACAAGCTGCAACGTACTTTGCAGACATCTCACTATACCTATCTTTCTCCTATTTTGGGGGAAACAGATAGCGGGGGGCTTTTCATTCTCTGACCTGAAGGGGTTGGAGGTGTTATTATGGGCTCATTAGGGTCCAGTATCTTATCAAGTTGTATCCAATCCTGGGCAAGTATTTACCAACAAATTAGTAGGTGAGGCCTCCAGGATCCGCTGCTACTGGGTTATTCTGTTGAAATGTCTCTGCCCCGGGGTAGCTCAAAATCAGACCTGTACGGCTGTGTACCAAGTTGTACAGAATGAATGAACAGAAGTAACCTGAGGCCAGTGGATCACGAGGTCAGGAGATGGAGATTATCCTGGCCAACATGGTGAAACCCTGTCTCTACTAAAATACAAACAATTAGCCGGACATGGTGGTGGGCACCTGTAGTCCCAGCTACTCGGGAGGGCTGAGGCAGGAGAATTGCTTGAACCTGAGGGGCGGAGATTGCAGTGAGCTGAGATTGCGCCACTGCACTCCAGCCTGGTGACAGAGCAAAACTCTGTCTCAAAAAAAAAAAACCCATGTGCCTTTGTCATTTTCTTTTTTAAAGAACCCAAAATACAATGTGAGGAGAATTTGATATTAGAATAAAGTTATCTATTTTCCTTTAAATATGAGCTTAAGGTACCTATTTTTTGTACTTTAGCAGCCTTTGCTTTACCATAAAATTCAGTAAAAGGAAAATAGAATTGACATACAAAAACTCAGTTTGTATATCTTGGGCTCTTTTATATGTTAATTAATGCACTATATTCTTGAATATAAGTGATATTTAAATGCCAACATGTTAATGAATTTGCTCCCTCTGAAATGTTGTGGAATTTAGTTACCATCAGATTTCACT